CCAGAGGCTGTTATGGAGTCTATATATATGTATGTCTTGCCTGTTTTGATTACGTGAAAATGGCAAGCCTCTCCTTCCTTGTCACATTAACAAAAATCTGAAAACCTAAATGAGATGAGTACTGTGTAAAAAGGATTTTGCACTTCTCCACAAAAACCATTTACCTTGCTTACGGTGGTCAAGCGCTTTTTTTTCTTGTAACTCCTTAGTTATTATATTGATTTAAATATTTTTTTAGTTATATTAAAATTATTTAAATGCTCTTACAAGCACAAAAAAAAAACCTAAACTGATTTTTAGAGGCTTTTTAGTATTTTTTTTCTCTTTTTACTGTTTTTATTTTTTCATTTTGGTATTATTTTTGTTATACACAAGTTCACTTAGAGGTGAATTGATAATTTATATAAAATAAATATTATTAAAAGAAGTATAGATGACTCCCACGCCTTTCGGTCACCATGTATTATTTTTTCATTTTGGTATTATTTTTCATTAACTTTCAATTAGAAGTATAGATGATAATTTATTTAAAATAAATATTATAAACTGATTTTCATGATGGTTATCACATTTCGTTTCATTGAATTTTACTTCCTCTTTTATCCCTCATATCCTTGTAAAAATACATTTGTATAGCTCCGAATGGTACTTTTCCAAGAAATTACTCTCACGAAAGAAAGACTTGAACCATGAAAGTTAATGTCAAAGCAAACGCAAACCAAAAGTGCCTTCCAAAAAATTGTCGTAATGCAAGTTTTCCTACCAAAGAGGAGACAGGTAGCGTGCAAACCAAGTCCTTGCAACGTGAGAGACCAGGGATCAAATAAGACAATTGAACAAACATGCAACCCTGCTACTGTGTTGTCGGCACCTTTTATTAAAAACAAATTGCCTTGGATTCCTTACAATTTCTTTTTATCCCTTTATTATAAAGAAGTTTTCACTATAGTAATTTACATTGAAAATCTCATTTTATCCTTTTAAAAACCATCAAATTAACTGATTATTTTGTGCTAAAATAGCTTTTTTATAAGGATATATTAGTTATTGTTATATTTAATGGGTCAAATTAATTTTTTTACTTTATTTGAGAACCTGCAATAACTCAAATAATCTTTCAAGCAAAAAAATAATGCACATGGGTTTTTTTATCTTTTTTTATTGGTTTTTATTTTATTATATTCCCGTTAACTAAAAGGTAATTTTGTCTTTATGTAAATATAAAATATTTATTAAAAAATATAGCTTTTAATTAAAAAAAATTAAAGCTTCCTTATAAGAGCATTTTGTCTTTTACATTTAGTTTTTTTGTAAAGCTTCCTTATAAGAGCATTTTGTCTTAGTTTTTTTTTATATACTTGTGTTAATTAAGGGATAATTTGATTTTTTTTAAATATAAAATATTAATAAAAAAAATAATTAATGTGTATTACTTACACACCAATAAGTAAGTGGACGTTACTTGTGTTATATGAACAGTCTATATTGCATTGTTTAAAAGTTAAACACTATTTTTTTTTTATGGTGTTAAAAGCATATTGACATTATATTCTTAATGATGTGGTATGTATGTAAGGTGGCACAATGGTTTGGCGGTTTGGCTCTGGTGTATGTATGTAAGGTGGCACAATGGTTTGGCTCTGGTGAATTTTTTTCTTTTTCTTTCTCTTTTTTATTTCAAAATATGAAGGTGTCATATCATTTATTTTTTATATTCAATTTAATCTTTATTCTTTTGTTAGTTTTATTGATTTTGTTTTTCAATTTTTCCCATCATCATTGGCTCTAGTGGATTTTTTTTCTTCTCCTTTCTTTTTTTTTTGTTTCAAAGTATGAAGGTGTCATATCATTTATTTTTTATATTAAATTTGATCCTTATTTTTTTATTACTTTTATTGATTTTGTTTTTCAATTTTTCCCATCAGTGGTCTTTATAGTTTCTTTTATAAAATTGATTTATTTTTCAATTTCATCTTCCAACATTTGATTTTTTAGAATTGGTCTTCATGCTCCTTCTTTTTTAATTTTTTTTATGGGGTTATCTCAATCCTATACTTATGATCGCAGAGGTAGCAGTTTAACTCATATATAATCCTATACTTATGATCGCAGAGGTAGCAATTTAACTCATATATATTTTTTTTAAAATTATTTTTTTAATTTTATCATTTAATATATTTTTATTAAGAATTTTTCTTCGTTGTTTTTTAGGCATGCCTTCTATACAATCAATCTCGACCTTATGATCATAGTCATAAGTTTTGAATGTTAACACTAGTTAACTTTATTCTTTTTATAGTTTTTTTTCAACTTCATCATTCAATATTTGATTTTTTTAGAATTAATTTTTATTTTTTTATTTTTCTTTATATAGAGCTATCCTAATCATGTTTTCATGGTTGCGAAACTAGCGGGTTGACCCATATCTTTTTTCCATTGCTTTTTGTTTTAGTTTCGTCATTCAACATTGAATTGTTTGATAGTTAAATTTCTTAGTTTTATTCAATTTTTTAATGATTTGATTTAACTTTATTGGCAAAGATAATTGTTTGATTAATTAAAAAATTTATTCTAAGAAAAAAAATTATTAAACGTAAGTACATAGCTCATGTTACAAGATCAAATATTTTAATCTTAGTTATGTTTTAATCAATTATCAATTTATTTAATTAGATATGTGTATAGACATTTTGATTTATGATTGAATTTTTTTATATCAAAAAACATGTTAGAAAAGTCTGTGTATTTTGTTTTTCAATAAAAAAATTACTTGAGTTGTGTCCAAACACAAATCAAATAGTTAGTTTTGACAATTATACATCTAAGTCCAAAACTTAATTTTCTTTAAATATCAATCCATGGGAAAACAACATAAGACAAATAAACAATTTGGTTGACCATAATCCAACAATAAAAAGAAATCATTCTTGGTGTCAATAACTTTATCTTTTTTGGAGGAGTTTAGTGACAATGTTTCTTGGTAAACAAAAGTAGATTGAGCTCTTATAGAGTTTTTAAATTTGGTTGTTTTTACTACTTTAAGTGATTTTTGGATGTTTTGGATTTAAAAATGAATGACAGAAGAATTAAAAAAATTAGAGGTAACAAATAATGATGTTTTTACTACTTGGTGTCAATAACCACTTGGTGTCAATAACTTCTGGATGTTTTTACTACTTGGTATCAATAACTTTATCTTTTACATCATTATTAACCTCTTAGATTAATAATGATGCAAAAGAATTACTTATAACAATGCACTAACAATATTTTTATGTTTTTTTAATATATTTATGCCGATTTTTTTTTCAAGATTTGCTTTTATAATTATGTTAAGATGATGTCCAAAAAAAACCAAAATTTCTAATACATAATTACCAAAAACAATTGATCACGTTAATATATAAAGAGGTTTTATATAGAACAATTTCTTTTTTAATGTTTGTTCTTATTGTTTTTATTTTTATTTTTATTAAATGAATGACAGAAGAATAAAAAAAATTAGAGGTAACAAATATTAATAAAAAAATAAAAGGTATACTAGCAATTTATTATTTTTTCAAGAAAATCCAAATTATTACTCCTTTTATATATAAAAAAAGTCCTTGAATAAATAAATAAACAAAACTTTAAAAGCTCACCGTAGAACATGGTCAGTTGTCTTGATCTAGTCTTTTGTTAATATTAATCTCTTTTTAAAATTTATTTGCACATGGAAACATCGATCATGCTACAAATTTTGAATTTACTATAGAATTTTTCCTACATTGACATTGGTTTTCACATTTGTTTTTATATCAAATCCACAGCAAATCAAGACCAGCAAATTAGCAATAACTAATGAAGGGCTTGGTTTTCACAGCCAAGAAGGACGCTATTTCCCCCCTGAATTTGCCTAAAATATCATCTCTCAGAGGCATTGAAAGAAAACTCACAAATTGCATTATTTATTAAAAAAATGTCGCAGGTAACGCGAACATGTCCAACTTTATCATCACTGTTATATTCAATTTCACGCCTACATTTTCTCAACCATTATATATCATCGGGTTTGTGCATATATGCATCAAGTTCACGGTCAAAGTCTGATTCTCTCCATAACACGATCAGGAGAAAAATGCCTAGGTTTCAAGTCGTCGAACACCATGATCTCAAAAGCAAGCTGTCCTACTCATGTTGCTCACAAAGGTCAGGCATCTTCAACAACTCCTTGCATGTTTTGTATCTTGTCTCATGCCAGAGTTTCTTGGGGAGAACTTCAGAAAGACTAAAATCGGATGCAAATTTTTAGTTCGGGATAGTTACATAGTCAGAGATATCTTGGGGTGAATAGGATCAGTTCTTAACCAAATTATCATACTCAACAGACAACCAACCAAACGATAATCACATATTAGCAACTACAAATCGAGATTTGTTAAACTTTTCATTGAATACATTCTCAATTGGCTTTCAAGAAAAAGACCGTTCTTACCACTAGCATCTTCTAATGGGTCGAGAGCATGGGAGCGGGGAGAGGGGGAATTGGAGTTCTTGGGAACAAAAATGGTGTCTTTAAATTCTATAATTAGCAAATATAAAGTCCCACAATCTGAGATCAAAAGTTCAGATTCCTAGTACATGAAAAGATGAGTTAAATAGAGCAACAAGAAAATGTCAGCGCTTAAAACACCAATTGCCCATTTCAAGTCGCCAACAAAAAGGTTTCCATTACACTATTTTCCTATGAGCATGCCCAGACCAAATACATATTCCATGGGCCGTAATCAGATAACATTGCAAAAGACAATTCTTTTTTTTTTTTTTTTTTTTTGATTTACGTGGGGTGTCCGGGCCAGCTTACGCGTACCACGACTAATCCCCACGGCCCACTGAACATCCTGCAAGCCCAGTGAGCAGGTAAGGCACCGCGGGGGTGACAGGCGTGCATGGTGAGGTTCGAACCCAGGTGCGGAGAAAGGAGACAAGCCCCTTCCACTATTCTGTTGTTGCCAATCCTCTAAGAAATATGTATCATTGTAAAATTCAAGGGCAAAAAATGAACACAAAGGCCAACACATACCAGTGAGATATCCTGAAAGCCACCAGTTACAGCAGCTGCAGATAATCGGATTCTTTAGCATCCGAGAAAACCCCGTGCCATTTTAACTTTACTAAACTAGCACACACTAAACCAAAATTGCACCAGAAAAATAAGAACTTTCCCACACTTCAATGCCCTCAACATTTTCCCTACTAACAAACAACCTATCTCCGCCCCCTTCAATTTTCCTTATCACCCCTCTCTTTGAATCCTCCACTTTATCCACAAAATTTCTCCTATACAACCCCTCTCCAACTACGTTATTCTCTTTTGACCAAACCTCTAAACTCCCATCTCTTCCTACAAAAACCTGGCTCTTGTAACAATGGAGCACACTATTACTTGCACCACCAATAAATCTCATGCTAGGGTTCTTCTCGTTAATATAGATCCACGGATCATCACCTAACTTGCGCAAATCTGCCACTGCTAAATCACCAGACTTCGAGCAGACTTTAAACAACGTCAACCCACCCACGTCAACGTCCACGTCCGCAAACGAATCTCCGAACCTGCTGCTTCGTCCGGAACCTGGCTCACTCGTCTCCCAAATCACCTCACCATTCCGTGGGTCCCACATTCTAATATATCCTGAATAACCAAACGCCCCACATGTAACCGCCGATCCGATTAATGCGCCGGTCTCCGGAAGCCACGTCAGCTTCCCGGGGACCGTGTTCTTGGAAGCGCTCCCCGATTGTCTCGTGATCTCTGATGAGATCTGAAGCGTTAATTTGTCTATTGATAGTATGCAGTTCTCTCTGTGTGGACAGTCAAAGGAGGCAAAGATTTGACTTGATGAGTCAGCGATTGAGCTGACTCGAGCTTTGTAGATTCTCGGATCGGTCGAGTCAGTCCAGTGAATTGACTCGATGTAACGCGCAGTGGAGAAATTGTAGAAATGGATCCCCGCGGCGGATTCTGAACCGACGACGGCGACATCGGGCCATACGTGGCGGATAGAGGTGATATCTTCGAGGTGCGTACGGACTGTGGAGATGTGGGTTAGATTGTGATCGTAGAAGGAGATTTGGCCGCCGTGAGCAGTGCAGACAGAGCCGTCGTCTGCAGCCGCGGTGAATGAGGATACGAGGCCGTCAGAGGCGGGGCAGATGGTGGAGACGATTGAAGCATCAATTCCAGAGAGAGGAGGAGGAGAGATGGCGTCGCGTATGCGCGAATCAATGCCGTAGTAGAGAGCCTCGTCGGCGAGTTCTTGCTTGGAGAAACCGCGTGCAGTGGAGGGGAGACGGTTGGAGCGGAGTAGAGAAAGGAGGACGGAGAAAATCTCCGGGTCTCGGTCAATGAAAATCGGGTCATGGCCAGGTCGGGTCGAGAGAGTAGATAAGAGTGAATCCGGACCGCCCGATTGGAGTGTGGATATTGTGGTTTCAAAAAGCTTGCCTCCAACGTTGAGCTTGATACGATCGTTGGGGAGTGCGTTAGCGGTAGACTTGGAAATTTCGTTTTCCATATATGAGAGAGGTTGCCAACAGAGGAGGAGGAGGAGGAGGAGGGCGGGTCCGGGAAGGGAAGCAATGGAGGGCTGAGTAGGAATTGACTGAAATGCCCTTGCTTACGGTTCTGTTGTTTGTAAGGAATAATGAAGTGGTAAATGGATGGTTTTTTGGAATTTTATAACATATTTGGATAAACCAGATAAAGTACAAAAATGAGAACCTCTTTAGGCGAAAAGAATTTGTAAAAGGGTTAATTACAATGATCGTGTCCTCGACAGCTAATTCTCCATGACAATCCTGCCTGGATTTAATTTTAAAATATTTACTTACTAATTTTTTTTAAAAAAATTTGAACATATATTTTAAATAATATATTAGATTAAATTAAAATTTTATAGAAAGATATTAGATAAATAAAATTATATTATGATAAGTTTTCATGTCAAGTAAAATTTTAAAACATATTATTTTAAATAGTCAAAGTTACTGGATAAATCTTATCAAATTAGATTTTTGTGTATTATTTGATATATATCTGGAGCTATAATTAAAATTTTATTGCAATTCAAGTTGGATTAGAAATTGGACATTTTATACTTTTCAAAAATATATGGTAAACTTATTAATTCATCCAGAAAAAAAAATAATGTATTTGAAGTTAAAACTGAAATCTATTAATAATAAGTAGAAATTGGAGATTTAAGCTATGTAAAAGAATTTTAGCATGAATACTTTATTTTTATTATTCTATTTAATTTATTTATTTAATGTTGAATAATTATTTTTAATTTGAGTTGTTCAAACACATTAAATATTATTTAAGGGTTTTTTTTTTATTATTAGACTTATGTTAGTTGATTGCTAGTTTAGGCTTGTTACCTTACAACTCAAAAGGAATTCGGGTTAGTTAAAGGAGATTATTTTTTTTAGTTGCAAATTTTAGCAGTAAGTTGAAGAATAAATGTGAGTTTTTATTTTGTTTTTTTGACAAAATAATCTTTATTTACATAGATAAAAATCATACATTGACTTATTGAAGATTAATTAACTTCACAATGTCGTTCGCATACTTAAAATTATTATATACAATGTTATCTTTGAGTCCAAGACTTTTTTCAATACTTATGATTCTTAGGTGACATGACTAAAACATTGATGTTTTCTCTTAAATACAAGAGTGTCGAAGTAATAAATAACCTGGTAAGACCGAGATCGAACCACAGGGAGGTTAATTGTATAAATTATAAACAATAATAATA